CTTAATAGAGGATTGTCCCAAGTTGATTAGGACGTTACCCAACGTTCTTTTTTCCCATTCGAAGCTTACTGTTAGGAATTGTCCAATTTTGGAAGGTTTATCTACAGGTCTCCCATCACTTTGTGAATTAAATATTGAAGCTTGCAATAAGAAGATGCTGACAGGCATGCTCTACCTCACCTCTCTAACAACATTGAGAATCAGCAAGATGCCAGAAATTATGTGTTTGCCACGTGGGATTGTACTGTTTACAGGTGCATTTAAAACTCTTGTTTTTTCTAATTGTAGTGGACTATATTCTTGTGGCAGAAGGGAGCTGGATTACACAATATTACTTCTCTTGAGTGCTTGAAAATTGAAGGTTGTTCTCAATTTGCATCATTTGCAGAAAATGAGAAGGATCTACCATGCAGCTTTGGAGACACGAATTGTGGTAATCGAGAGAAGCTGCCTTGTGGTCTTCAAAGGCTTACGTCTCTCAAAAATTTGCACATTGAGTCCTATCCGAAACTTGTCTCCTTTGCAAAGACAGGTTTCCCGCCCACACTTAGAGTTCTTAAGCTCAAAAATTGTTCGGCACTGAAGTACCTACCTGATTGGATGATAATGTCTAGTTGCAAAAGCAATGAGTGTTTTGAAGAGTTGGAGATTGAAGAGTGTCCTCTCACATCTTTTTCGAGGTTGTTTCCCACCTTACTTAGAAGGCTGAAAATTCGAGATTGTAGTGATCTACAGTCTTTACCTGAGGGGATGATGCAGACTGAAAATAGCATAAGCAACATGTTTATTCTTGAGAATTTGGAGATTGTTGATTGCTCTTCTCTCATTTCCTTTCCTGAAGGTAAATTACCTACCGGCTTTAAGGTCCTTAAGATTTTAGATTGCTTGTAGTTGGACCCTGTTTTTGACCAGACGCTTCACAACGGTGCTTCACTTGAATATATTATCATATGGAACAGTAAAAATCTAACAAGATTGCCTAATTGCCTATGCAGTCTCACATGTCTTAAGGAATTAAGTATAGGTAACTGTCCGTCTTTGGAATCCTTCCCAGTGGAAGTCTTTCCATTTCCCAAGCTGAGAGAATTGGACATTCACAATTGCATCAATCTCAAGCATTTGCCCAATCAGATGCAAAATGTTACTGCACTTCAATGTCTAACAATTTGTGACTATCCTAATCTCATGTGCCTTCCAAAGGGTGGTTTTTCGCCTAATTTGTTGTTACTTGAGATATGGGACTGTAAAAATCTGAAGGAGCCCACGTCGGAATGGAATTTACACACTTTAAGCTATCTAAGAGACTTAAGCATAGTCGGCGCACCAGATATAGTTTCGTTTCCTTATAAAAACTATTTACTTCCTACTACGTTAGTTTTTCTGTTCATTGCAAGACTTGATAATCTGGAATTCCTATCTACAGGGCTCCAAAATTTGACCTCGCTTGAAGACTTAGAGGTTTCCCAGTGTCCTAAGCTTGGATACTTGCCAAGGGAAGGCTTGCTTGCAACACTTGGAAGATTTTGTATTAGGGAATGTTCACTTTTAAGACAAAAATGCTTAAAGGGTAGAGGGGCATATTGGCCCTTGAAAGCCCACATTCGTTGCGTGGAGATAGATGTCATGCATATATAATACCTTAACTCTTCTACGTTTTCACTTTGGTAAAACCAATTTCTAATGCCTCTTTTACTGGTGTTGGACTTTCTCACTCATTATGTAGGATGGAGAAGACGAGGGGTGCTGTAAACTTTGAAACTTAAAAAAGAAACAAAATTTGCATGGTATTCAGTAAGCTTATTGTGATTGTTTCACACAATGTTATGCTTCAATCCTTGCTATATGCTGAAATGGTTTTGTAGATTTCTTATCTTTTCAACTGTTGCTTTTTGGAATTTTTATATTGAAGATTTTCCTGTTAACAAGATCTTGATCATGCTTGCCAGTTCAACCTCTGAATGCAACTGGAGAGAATGTTGGGTTTCTGATATTATAGTAACCATGCTTTATTACGATATTGACAAGTCACAATTTCTTTAAACAAATTGGAAATTACAGTTAGCTCTAGTTATGAGGATCATCTCTGGAAAATAAAAAACAATTCTAATTCATTCAAATTGAGATGTTCATCTCTCGAGTTTGCTAATGCGTATAGTATCAATCTAGCTTGGTTATGGATACTGGTTTTTTCTATAAAAAATTAAGGAAGTGGATCCAGTTTTGTCCAAAGTGAAACAAAACTTGTCAAATATAAAGGCCCAACCATTCAAGGGACAATGACAGGTTGACAACCGACAGCCAAGAGACAAGGCGTGGTTGTCTTAGTGGTCGAGTCGATCAAGAGATGAATTAGCACAACAAAATTCTTTTCTTTATGTTTTAAGTAAAATAAAAATGTTTTCTTTGAAGTTACAAATGAAGACAAGGTAAATAAAAATGGAACAAAGCGAAACAACAATTAATGTAAAAATGGTCACTGTCTTGTCACTTGCGCCATTCATGGAAGCTACCCTTTTGCGGACTAAGTCAAAGGGGTTGAACAGATATATACTAGAATGTACCTTGGCATTCAGATTTAATCATCTATCCTAAAATCTGGCAAGAAAGTCTTTGTGCACAGTATCTTCATCTCCAGTTCATGCTCCATGGCAGCTTTTCACGACCAAGTTATGCTCTCTGCTATGTTCAATTCCCTGCAAGTTTAGATGCTCAAATTTGCACGACAAGAGCAAACCTGTTATGCATTCGAGAAGTGGGTTAAACCCATAAACGACATCAATATCGTGATTGCTAATGCGGAGAAAAGGCAAAAGACATTGCTTCCAGTTGAACACTGACTCTCCGATTTAAGAGACCTTGCATACGATGTTGAGGCTTGTATTGATGAATTTGCCACTGAGGCCTTGGGCAGCAAAATAATGGCAGAATCTGACTTATCAGTGAGTATTTCTAAGGCAGTTATGAACTTTATCTCAGAATTGTTTTATTGGTTTCAATGCAAATACTGATTCTAATTTCAGACGCAAAATTGAGTCTAAGATAGAAAAAATTACTGTAAGATTGCAAGGCTTGGTTGAGAAGAAGAATAATTTGAAGTTAGGGTCGGACTGTGGAAGGAGGCGTGAGAGGGTGGTACAGCAGAGTTTGCCCGTTACTTCTCTTGTTAATGAATCTCATATTTATGGTAGGGAAAAGGATAAAAAGCTGTTATTCAGCTTTTGAAGAGTATTGGTGAAGTGGGTTGATAATATTAGTGTGGTTGCAATTGTGGGAATGGGAGGACTAGGCAAAACCACTCTTACTCAAGTAGTTTACAATGACGCAAGAGTTGGAAGTTAGTTTCAAGTGAGAGTTTGGGTTAATGTTTCGGCAGAATTTGATATGGTTAAGGTGACAAAGACAGTTCTGCAGGCTACTACTCAAGAGAACTGTAATTGTGAGTTTTAAATTTACTCCAGGTGAGCCTCAAGGAGAAACTATCTGAGAAGAAGTTCTTGATTGTTTTAGACGAAGTTTGGAATGAGAACAATGAGTAATGGGATATTCTATGTAGACCCTTCCAAGCAGGGGCAATTGGAAGTAAAATACTTGCAACAACTCGAAGTGAAGGTCTTGCGTCCATAATGACTACTTGTGGGTCATACCAGTTATAGCTATTGCCGAATGATGATAGTTTCTCTTTGTTCACCTGGCATACTCTTGGATTAAGAGGCTTTGATGGCTACCTTAATTTAAAAGTAATTGCTGAAGAAATAGTGAGGAAATACAATGGTTTGCCGTGTACTGCTAAGACCCTGGGAGGACTCCTGCACAACAAAGTAAATCAAGTTGAATGGGAAACCATTATGAATAGCAGGATATGGGATTTACCAGAAGAAGTAAGTGGCATTGCTCCAACTATAAGGTTGAGCTACCAACACCTTCCTTCCCATTTGAAGCGATGCTTTGCTTATTGTTCAATATTTCCTAAAAACTATAAATTTCACAAGGATGAGTTGATTCAACTGTGGATGGCAGAAGGTTTTTTGCAACATTTGGAAGGAGCAAAGTGAGTGGAAGACCTAGGTTTTGAATATTTTAATGAATTGCTATCAAGATCATTTTTCCAACAGGTAAGTGATAATGCAACACAATTTGTGATGCATGATCTTATAAATGATCTAGCTCAGTATGTTTCTAGAGACTTGTGCTTTAACATTGAGGATAGGTTTCAAGATGGGAAATTCTGTGGAAGCATAAAAAAGATGCGCCATTTCTCATTCACTTGTCACCATTGTGATGTTTCAAAAAGATTTAGCAACTTATGTCGACAGGAAAAATTAAGAACTTTCATAGCACTGCCAACTTATACAGTGCCCTGGGTAACCTGTTGCTACTTAAGTGACCCTGTCATACAGGACTTGCTAACAAGTCTAAGGCACTTAAGAGTACTAAGATTGTGAGGTTATTTCATTGATAAGCTACCAGAGTCAGTTGGTCATTTGAAACATTTACAGTATCTTAATTTATCTCACAGTAGAATTAATTGTTTACCTGAATCAGTGGGTTTTCTCTTCAACTTACAAACATTAATACTGCAAGGGTGCAAGGAACTTACTAAGTTGCCACAAGGCATTGTGAATCTAATTAACCTTCATGTTCTTAATCTTTTCGATACTGAGAATTTACAAGAGATGCCATAGTGGATAGGTCATTTGAAAAATCTTCATATTTGTGGCAAAGGATAATGGGTTTGGTATTGAGGAATTGAAGGGCTTGTCACAACTGCAAGGGGAGCTTTCAGTTATGGGGTTAGAAAATGTGGTGGATGTTCAAGATACTATAGCTGCTATTCTAAAAGATAAAGACAGCCTTGATGGGCTAGATTTGCAATGGAGTAGCAATTCTTTTGATTCCCAAAATGATGAAGATAAAGCACATGTTATGCACATGCTACAACCTCACGACAATCTGAAGAGACTTAGAATTTTGTTCTATGGTGGTTCAAAATTTCCACATTGGTTAGGTGAGCCTTGGTTGTCTAGTATAGTTGGCATAAACCGCTCTGATTGCAAAAGGGGCAAGTCACTTCTATCGCTTGGGAGACTACTAACTTTATGTTAGGATGGAGAAGATGAAGGGTGTTGTAAACCATGATGGAAAAGAAACTGAATTTGCATGGTATCCAGTAAGCCTTTTGCGGATTGTTTCACATGGTTTTGCATCAAACCTTGTTGTAAGCTCAAATGGTTCTATTAACAAGATCCTTGATCATGCTTGCTAGTTCAACACCTGAATGCAACAGGGAGAGAATGTTGGCTCTCTGACATTGCGGTAAACATGATGCTTACCTCCCTTGTTTGTTTGGTTTTTAGTTGGAATTTATTTACATTTTGCTTTATTATGATATTGACAAATTACTTCATATTGCATGTCCAGAAATAGAGATGTTCATATGTCAATATGCTAACGCCTATAGACTATAGTTGATATTTGCTAAGATAAGGTTACCATGCAACACAAGAAATAGATAAACAGCATAGTAAAAGTGTTTTGAGAAATTGGACGGTCTCCTATAACAACTAATGAAAGCAGGGTAAATGGGCCTTGAGATGCCCATTTTTTGAGAAATTGAACTTCTAAAGCCCAATCACACTGAATAGGTTTGGTCTTAAAAGCCCAAATTATTTATGTAGATAAATATTGATAATTTGTCACTAAATTAAGAAATATATGTCTCTTATTTATTATATTTATTTAAAAAAATTCGAATTTAATCCTTTAAATAAAAAATCTATGCAATTACTATTAAACAAAATGTTTGGATACTTCTAGTTGACACGGGTATTTTGACATAATTTATTAACATTGAGATAATATTGAAAAAAATCACTATACTAAAAAAAAAAATGAAGAATAATTGATTTTTGTTTCTTACACAGCATGTGAACTTACTTTTCCGTACTTTATTCCTTATCTGAAAAACATGTGCAATCTCTGGACTTTTAAGCCCCACGCTCCCAAGTTACCATGGTGTACAGCGAAGAACGCATGTTTCCAAAAGTGCTTGAAAAGAAAAGGCCAAGGTTTCCGACACGCCATTGGCGAAATGTGGCGGCAGTGGAGCTTGTCCATTACTTTTCTACCTCAGCAGAGAGAATCTATTCGATTGGTACGACGACCATTGTTAAATAAAGTAAACAAGAAAGCAGGGGCTGAGGTTACGAGATGAGCATGATCATGATCATGGCTAAAATTCCACCACTACCCACCTACCAATGTACCAGAAGTGATGGAACCCGATTCTCCATTACTGAAATGATGGTCACTAGGAGTCAAAAACTTTGTCCAATGAATTGTGGGTTTCTTTTAATTCATCGATTAGTTTAGTGGAACGAGAGATTCATTGTGTTTTCTAGTCATTAGCTTAGTTTACCAGGCATCCAAAGACGTAAACTTTTGAAAGAGCGATTGACTTTCCAACAACTTGTGGAAAGAAGAGTTACATTTACTGTTAGACTGTGGACTTGGATCTTCATGTTCGTCTTCATTTAAGTTATTTTTCTGTTGATGAATTTTTAAAATTAAAAACTATACATATAATTATCCTCTACATACCAAATGGTAATACGAAATAAATTTTATTAAAAGTTTTATCTTAAAATCAATTTGACCGAATCCTTAAATTTCATTTTAACCACGTTTGCACCAACACACTGTTCACTTGGTTGGCTTCACCCGCCCTTCATCCCGTTCAGGAAGACCTGCAAAAGAAAAATAAACCAAAAAAAGGTTCTCAAATTACAACGAATTTGTTCCTTTCCTGTTTGTCTTTGAATTTTTTTTTCTGGGTAAATTTGCAAGTCTGATTCAGCTTATGCCTGGATCAGTACTGTTCTTGTTTAAAGACGGCAGCGGGTCTCCCTCAGGCGTATGTTAATCTTAAATCTTAATTATGCAGTTGGAGTTTGCGGTTTCTGGTGATGGAAAGGTAGTAGTAGGAGCTAGCATTCAAGAGAAGACGAAAAAAGAAACGCCAGAAGTTCACTGCTTTCGCTTGAAGACAAGATGGAAGCTATTGTGGCGAGTGTTAGTGATGTAATGCTATCTGCGTTGTTCCGCTCCCTCTTTGAAACGTTGTCTTCACCTGACTTTCTTAAATTCTCGCGGGAGGAGCGAGTTTGGGCCGAAATCAAGAAATGGAAGAACCTGCTGCTTAAAATCAATGCCTTGCTTCAGGATGCTGAGGAAAAGCAAACCACGAGTCGTGCTGTGAAACTCTGGCTCACGGATCTACAACATGTTGCCTTTGATGCCGAAGATGTTGTTGACGAACTTGCCACCGAGTCTTCACGGCGCAAACTATTGGAGCTGGCTCAACCTTCTGCGAGCACCAGAACGTTATGGAAGGTAATACTCCCAACTTGTTGCAGTGCTCTCAATCCAAATGGTATTAAGTTTAATGCCAAAATGAATTCCAAAATACAAGAAATTACTTCAAGATTGCATGAGTTGGCTGCACTGAAGAATGATTTGAATTTAGTAGAGTTTAGTGGAGGGAGGCCTGAAAGAGTGCTTCAGAGACTGCCCACCAGTTCTCTCGTTGATGAGCCTCATGTCTATGGTAGGGAAAGGGATAAGGATGCTATTGTTGACATGTTGATGGATAGTGGTGAAATGGGTAGAGGTGAAATTGGTGTGGTTTCAATTGTAGGTATGGCAGGAGTAGGTAAAACTACTCTTGCTCAGTTAGTTTACCATGATGAGCGAATTGAGACTTCATTTGAATTGAGAGCTTGGGTTTGTGTCACTGAGGATTTTGATGTTCTTAGGGTGACAAAGACAGTGCTTCATGCTGTTGATTCTGATATTGGCAATTCGCAGGATTTAAATTTACTTCAAGTGTGGCTAAAGGAGAAGTTGACTGGGAGAAAATTTTTGATCATTTTAGATGACCTCTGGAATGAGAACTATGAAGATTGGGATGTTCTATGCAAACCCTTTGCAGCAGGGGCACCTGGAAGTAAAGTACTAGTGACAACACGGCATAAAAGAGTTGCAGCAGTCACAGCTGTCACAGCTAACAATGAGGCATACCATTTGAAGGAACTGTCAGATGATGCTTGTCTGTCATTATTCACCTGGCATGCTCTTCGAGCTAGAAATTTTGATGGACACCCAAATTTAAAAGTGGTCGGTGAGCAAATAGTGAGGAAGTGCAAGGGGTTGCCACTTGCAGCAAAGACCTTGGGAGGACTCCTTCGCACTAAAGTAACGCAAGAAGAATGGGAAGATATACTGATGAGCAAGATATGGGATTTACCAGAAGAAAGAAGTGGCATACTTCCAGCTCTGAGATTAAGCTACCATCATCTTCCTTTCTATTTGAAACGATGCTTTGGTTATTGTGCTATATTTCCAAAGGACTATGAATTTGACAAGGATGAGTTGGTCCTACTATGGATGGCAGAGGGTTTCTTACAACAGCTAAAAGGAAAGACACGGATGGAGGACTTAGGTTCTCAATATTTTAATGAGTTACTGTCACGATCAATTTTCCAACAGTCAACCAGCAACAAAGCACGATATGTGATGCATGACCTCATAAATGATTTAGCTCAATCTGTTTCTGATGAAATATGCTCAAGTCTTGATGATATGGATATAGTTGAGGGTGATAAGTTATGCACAGTTGCTGAAAAGGTTCGTTATTTGTCATTCACTCGTCGCCAGTATGACATTAGAAAAAGATTTGAGGGCCTGTATCGGATGAAGAATTTACGAACTTTAGCTGCATTACCAATTTGTACATCACCTTGGTCAGCATGTTGTTATTTAGCTGGTGATGTCTTACAAAAGATGCTGCGAAGGTTAAGTTGCTTAAGAGTGCTATGTTTAAGTTGTTATTGCATCAATGAGCTACCAAACTCCATTGGTCATTTGAAGCATTTACGCTACCTTAATTTGTCTCGCAGTAGAATTACACAATTACCTGAATCTGTGGGTTCTCTTCTCAATTTGCAAACATTGATACTGCAAGGATGTAAGGAACTTACTAAGCTGCCACAAGGTTTTAAAAATTTAGTGAACCTTCGTGTTCTTGATCTTACTGATACTGATAGTTTGCAGGAGATGCCATTAGGGATTGGTAATTTGAAAAATCTTCAGATTTTGTCCAAATTCATTGTGGGCAGGGGTAGTGGATCTGCTGTTAGTGAATTAAGAGGCTTGTTGCATCTGCGAGGGGAGCTTTCAATTTCTGGGTTGGAAAATGTTGTGGATATTCAAGATGCTAGCAAAGCTAATCTAAAGGATAAGTATGGCTTGACTAGGTTGTGTTTGCAATGGAGCCATGAGTTCCTTGATTGCCAGAATGAGGAAGCTGAAATGCATGTTCTTGACAGGCTACTGCCTCATAAAATTCTTGAGAAGCTTAGAATTCTGTTCTATGGTGGTACAATATTCCCATCTTGGTTAGGTGAGCCTTCATTGACTAATTTAGTGGACCTAGAACTCTGTAATTGTAGAAATAGTATATCACTTCCATCACTTGGGAGACTACCCTCACTCAAAATGTTGTCGATTGCAGGCATGGATAGAGTCCAGAAGGTGGGTTTAGAGTTTTATGGACATATTTCTCCTTCTGTTAAGCCCTTTCCATCCTTGGAAATTCTAAGGTTTAAAAGTATGTTGGAATGGAGATGCTGGTCTTCTCCTAATCAAGTTAATGAACACTCAGGGGAAGAATTTCCTTGTCTCCGGGAACTTGTGATCGAATATTGTCCCAAGTTGTGTGGAAAGTTACCTGGCCGTGTGTTTTCCCTCATGAAACTTGTAATTAAGCATTGTCCAAATTTAGAAGGTTCATCTGTGAGTTTCCCATCACTTTGTGAATTAAATATGGAAGATTGCAAAGAAGAGTTACTCAGAAGCATTGTTGGCATCACCTCTTTAACAACAGTCAGAGCCAAGAGTATGCCAGAGCTTCAGTTTGTACAAAATGAAATTGCACAGTTTCCAGGAGCACTTAAATTTCTTGTCATTTCCAACTGCATTGGATTGACATCATTATGGCAGAAGGGTGCTATTTCGTTGAATATTTCTTGCCTTGAAAGTCTGAAAATTAAGGGCCAGTCACAATTTGTGTCATTGAGTGAAAATGATCAAGGCTTGTCTAGCAATCTTGAAGACCTCAGACTGTTAAATTCTTGTAGCGTGTGGAAGCCTCCTTGGATGATGCCTGCCCTCACATCTCTCAAAGATTTGCAAATTGAGTCATGTCCAAATCTTGTGTTCTTTCCTGAGGTAGGTTTCCTACACACACTGAAACATCTTAAGCTCAAAGATTGTCAGGCTCTAAAGTCTCTGCCCAGTGGGATGATGATGCTTAATTGTAAGATAAACGGGTGTCCTCTTGAAGAATTGGAGATTGAAGATTGTCATTCTCTCACATGCTTTCCCAGAGGCAGGTTACCTACCACACTTAAATGTATTAGAATCCGGTATTGTACAGATTTAATGTCTCTACCTGAGGGATTGATGCAGATTGATAATAGCGCAAGCAACATATCTCTTCTTGAGATCTTGGAGATTGTTGCTTGCCCTTCTCTAATTTCATTCCCCAAAGGCAGATTACCTACCAGCCTTAAAAATCTTAAGATTTGGAATTGCTCCAAATTGGAACCCCTTTCTAATAGGATGTTGCACAAATACGCATCGCTTGAGTCCATCGATGTCTGGAATTGTGCAAATCTGATAAGTTTGCCCGAGAACCTGCACAATGGGACGCATCTGACAGAATTAAAATTTGGTTTATGTCCTGCTTTGAGATACTTCCCAGAAACAGGCATGCATCTTCCGAACCTGAGAACACTGGACATCTACAAATGTGACAGTCTAATGTCTCTACCCGATCATATGCTAAGCCTCACTTCTCTTCGATGTCTATCAGTTTCTGAGTGTCCTGGTCTTCTGTCCATTCCAAAAGGTGGCTTGCCTCCTAATTTATCAGTATTTGAAATCTGGGATTGTCAAAATCTTAAGCAGCCCATGTCAGAATGGAACCTACACAGTCTAGCCTTTCTCAGGGAATTGAGCATTGCTGGTGGACCAGATACAGTTACCTTTCCAGATGAAAAGTGCCTGCTTCCTACATCTCTAGTGTCTATGTTTATTTCAAGACTTCAAAATTTGCAATCTCTGTCCATGGGGCTCTATAATCTGACCTTGCTTGAAGATCTAGAAATTGTCGAGTGTCCTAAGCTTCAACGCTTACCAAAGGAAGGCTTACCTGAAACACTTGGAAGACTTTGTATCAGGGATTGTCAACTTCTAAATCAACATTGCTTGAAGGAGAAAGGGGCATATTGGCCTGTGATAGCCCACATCCCTCGTCTAGAAATCACAGATGATTAATGGTTGGACTTTGGTCGGCTAGTTTGTGATTTTCTCTGGTAGAAGTGCAACTATGGTACGTCAATTTTATTATACAAAACCATTCTCGTCAGCATAACACTTTCTTCTTTATTTTCACTGATGATAGACTTTCTCACTCTGCATGTAGGATGGAAGAGTAAGAAGCAGATTAAATCAAAATCTCCCTGCAATCAGTGTAGTCAACTGATGTATGTTCTCTTAGTTGTCAAATCTGGTTACTCAATATGCTTTATTGTTGAAAGTTTCAGAATGGATTTTTTATATCTTAATCAACTGTATCATGAATTTACCCTATCTTATGCTTAATTGGTTTTACAGATTTCTTGGATAACCATGTTGATCATGAAGTTGATTGGAGTCATTTATCATCTCCCAAGGTTTGAAGGTTCATCTATGGCTTACCCATCTCTTTCTGAATTAATCATTGAAAATTGCAACAAAGAGATTTTAGGAAGCACTGTTGGCCTCACCTTTCTTATAAGACCCAGAACCAAGAGTATGCCAGAGCTTATGCATCTAGAGGGAGGGGATTGTACAGATTCCAAAACTTCTTGTTAACCCTATATATATAGAACCTTTAGAATTCATTTGAATAACGGTTAATAAGACTTGTTCTTGAGTATAAGGTATTTGAAATAAGGTAATAGAGAAGGTATACGGAAGGGAAATACTTCCATATCTGATCCACTAATCCAAACATCTCAAGATAAAAGTAACACTGTCATTTATTTTGAATTGCTTTCACTGCACATGGTTATTATCCATGTAAAGTAGTTATTTTAATAAAATTGGTTGTATTCTAGTTTTGCGTTTGATCGATCAAAGTCAAGCTAACTGCATTTCATTGAATAATTTAAAGTGACAATTTGTATATATTTTCTTTCCCGAGTTGAATACATTTACTGAAAAAATAGCATTGGGCAATTGGATAAACACCTTTCCTAAAATCTAATCAAAGAAAATAGATGAAACAATGAAAGACATCTGAAAAATTTAGAGGAAATTTAATTGTATCTTGAGGTATCTGGCAGAGGTGCCCCAGTAAGAAAGTGCTTGATCAGTGAAAGAGCCCTCTTTGGTTGGTAGCTTGGCACTTGGTGCCCCGCCCCTCTTACTGTAGCAAATGTTAAATCCCCCTTGTACACCTGAGTATAGCCGCCAACCTGCCACATAAATTGTTACCAAAAGCAACTGAGTCAATTAATGGTTTTTAAGATGCTAAAACCTATCACATTAACATAATTTAACAACTGATATGGTGACTGTGCTATAATGGGCAAGGAGTTGCGATTTGACAGGAACTAGAGCTGATTCATGGCAAAAGAGAAGATTGGAACTGAAAGATGAAGACATCAAGGAGCAAGCATAGAAAAGGTAGAGAAAGAAAATTTTACCTCTGCATCAAGGTACCATGGATGCCACTTAGTTTTTACTGGAAGCTTCATCTTGTTAATGGAGTACTGGGTTGAAGTAACTGGTACTCTTCCATCTGTATCACCACTGCATTACATCCAACAAATTAAGACATAACTAAGGCTTACATCATTTGATGCAACAATTTGAGATGGCAAAAGGGTTACCTGAAAACCCATACTCTGAGCCCGTTAGCCATAAACTCCTGCAGAAGGGGAATGATTGTTGAAGGGCTATCTCGCCATTCTCCGACCAAGTCGCTGCAGGGTTCCCAATCATGGTCGAGTTTTGTCACATTGGCATGGAGGGCTTCTTGAACATCCGCCCTGTTTAGATAAGCATATACGTAATTGTCGCTGCATGGATCAAAATTCATCACCTACAACCAGCCAGAAGAACAAGAAGTTACTGTCATTTTAAAGGTATATAACAAACCTGATTATTGCAAATAATACACTTATCTTAGTAGGATTTTGGATGAAAATTGTTTCAGGATTAGAGGTTAGGAATTTAGAATCCTGTCCTTGCAGGACTACCAGCCCAAAAGAGGAGATTGAACAACCTGGGCCAATCCCCAAGATTTGTTGGATTGGGTAGGATAACCTAGTGAGACTACAGAAGAATGTTCCAGGGTTTGTGTGGGTTGGGACGTTAACTTACCGAAGTTTTCTTGGGCCGCGCTGTGAGATTGGAATTGTGGCATAATGGGCCATAGATATTGTAAATATCAAGGTTGTAAGTATCTCTGTGCGCCTCATCAACGGCTGCAATGCACTCACGGGTGGAATTTGTGGTATCCTCGGATGAAAGATTACAGTGCTTTTTAATTCTGGATGCTGTATCTTCTGAAATGAGAGCATGGCTCTCAAAGAAGTCATACATTCCTTTAACATCAGTTTCATCATTGATCACAGCATTCCCAATCTGCAATTTGAATAAAGAGGTCAAATTATTGATTGAAAGAGGCTAACTCACATAGTTTAATTTCTAAGTTTCAATCATTTCTTCATGTTGGAGAGAAGAAGCAAAAAAATTGTCATCTAGTCTAAGCTCCAATTATGTGTCACAGGCACTAGTTTATTCAATTATTGATCGAAAGAGATAGAAAAAAAGACAGGCAGACAATGATAGATAGATAAATAGAGAGAGAGAGAGAGAGAGAGAGAGAGAGACATACTATAATTCCTTTGAGGTTGATAAGGGTCTTGTTAGCCTTCTGGTTGTGTTGGAGAATGGTATGTGCAAGTTGAGGGACATAATGCCCCGCATAGCTTTCACCAGATATGTAAAAATCCCTGCCTTTGTACTCAGGAAACCTCTCCAACCAATTTAACAAGAACACATAATTATCAGCAGCTGTTTTGTTGTCACCGCTCTCATTATAATCTGATGTTCTGTTGGAGTATGAAAATCCCACCCCAGCAGGAGACTCAAGAAACAAAACATTTGCAGCTGAAAATAAATGTCAAACTTTTAATGTGCAAGATCAACTTTGGATAAGAATTGCTTTTCCTGAAAGAGTGAATCACTGTACCATAGTTCCATGAGTATCTATTTCTGTAAAGTGTTTTTCCAGTGCTATGAACTCTAAAGGGTCCAAGCTCTTGCATTGCTCCATAAGCTAGAGATGAACAACCCGGTCCTGACAGTGAAAGTACACCAAAACCAGATTAGAGGTTCATTAAGAACAAAGTCGGATTGAAATGATTTTTCTTCTGCTTAAAAATGTCAGATTTCTGATGCCAAGTTTACAAGTTAAACCCCATTAATTTAATCATTAAAGAACCTTGAACATCAATTACCTCATTGAACCAATTGGGAGATTCTAGAAAAACAGAATGATTATGGTAATAACATATAGAGACACACTCTGTTGACTACGAGGCTTCTTAGGTATGGGCTTTTTTCTGTATTTCAAAAGGATTGAACTGGCAGAACATGCATTCCGAGAAATCCTCCCCTGGGAGTGAATTCTGGGATTTCAGAGAGACTGCCATCCCGCAAAAAGTGGTGACAAACAGGACAAGAAGATAAAGGTGCATCATGCATCTACAACAACTTGTAATTAAAATTTTTACAATGATTATTGCAATAGTATTTCAACAATTTAAATTTAAACAGAAACTAATTATTATTATTATTATTATTTTGGTTTCATAAATTAAGAAATATTTTCAGATGTCATGATTAAATAGTAGTGTACTTTATTAATAATTAGTTCCAAACGTAAGAAGTGTGGCCTCATGATAAGAACAGAAAGCGAGTGAAAGAGAAGCAGCCCAAGTAAACTGGTTAACCAATAATGGAGATGTAAAAAATGATCAGATAAGATTTCTGGGATTTGTGGGATATCTTCATCACAACCACAAAAACCAGAATTCATCCAAAAAAAAATGAAAAACAGAGAACAAAGAACAAATTCATGGAGGATAAACGTTTTAGATCAATGAAGTTTATTTTTCCTTTGGAATTGCAATGGGGAAAAGGAGATTCAAGTACCTCCGTTGAGCCAAAGAAGAAGAGGCAAAGAGTCCTTAGAATGCTGAGCTTCAGCGAAATAGTAATACAGCGCACGACCTACTGATTTATCAACTGTTACATAGCCGCCATACTGTGAAAATTGGACGTCAGGTTGTCCAGGCAACTTTTCAATCCTGTCTTTCTCTTTCATTCCCTCCTGTGGATGAACACTGTCCTTGCTTATGGAGTGAATTGGCTCGAAAAGACTCGTAACAATGCCGGAACTTCCCTTCATCTTGGTCCTGTAAAGATGGCTGAGAGCTTCTGCTTGCTTCTTGCCATGACTTGGAGCTACCATACATGAAAGCATGAGGAAGAAAGCAACAAGGATAAAAGAGTTCTTCTCCATTGTGTTTCTTCCTGTGGAAAAAAGACAATGACAGGAAGAAAAAGAAGGGTGGAGCTGGTAGTTTTGGGAACCAAAATTGGCTGCTTTTGGATCAAATTTGCGAAGAATAATTGTTTTAAATGCAAATATGATTTCCAACCACCAGCAAGGGAGGCAGCTAGCTAAGCTTCCAGGACTCAAATTCTTCCTCTTGGGGTTGGAAAATAATAAAATGGCTTCAAAGTTGTTGTTTAATTTTGGAGAGTACAGAGGAGGGTCTATTTATAGACATAAGTACAAGTAGAGATAATTGCTATCAATAGAGATAAATATAAAGATAGACATAAGCATAGGGATAACTACAGGGATATACACAACTATTTACAGAGATAATAAACATAGTAATAGGGATATACACAACTATTTACAGAGATAATTATAGAGATAAACATAGTAATAGGAATAATTACAGAAGATTGTTCTCACCAAGCATAGTTATCTGTTTATATTATTAATTTAATTAATTTCAAGACCAATCAAGGTTTAGAAAACCCATCTATAATCATTTACGTTTTAATCCATTATAAATTCTTTTTACAACGTGGAATTGTGTTTCACATTTATTATTATGGAAAATATTCAAACATTTTTTTTGTTTGTGCAATGCCATAATCTCATCCCAACCATGGCATGAGGCAACATGCCATCATGTTATGCCATGTGAGGGTAATTAGAGAAAAATTTTGGGTCAATCCAATGACACATGCAAGTCTTAATTTTTATGTTTCATGTTGCTCAAGAACATGGAAGACCATGATTAATTTGAATAAAAAATTCCTCACAATAATCTATTGCTACAAACTTGCAACTTTAATCAATAACCTTTCTTCATAATAAGTATATGGTTTGTAATTTAGGTGAATTTCTATTAATTAGTTGGTTCAATTAAAAGAAATAGAAAAGAGAAAAGAACCATACAGATGGGACAATTTATTATTTTAATATTTAATATAGAAAGAACAGCGTAATGGAGACAAGATGTAAATCAAAACCGACCATGCACAAATCTGTACTACAAATAATTATTATTTAAAAAAAAAAAAAGATCGAAAGAAGCATTCCTGTTCTATCACGTTATTGTTTTTCATTTGTATCAGAACAGATGCAAAGGTAAAAATCACATGAAAAGGCATATAGATAACAGAAACAAAAACGTTTTCTGCTGGAAATTGAGATTGAAAGTGACTAGAAAACTATAAAAGGAAAATTCTTTAAATTATTTATTTTTAATGAATTCTTTTTAGTTTTTTCATGTTAAAAAATAGTGAACATTTAGGTCAAAATCAGAACAAAATCAAATATTTTTTTAAAAAAGGAAGAAGTACAATTCTATTAAAAAGAATTAGGTGAAAGCCATAGCTGTATCAGAGAGCAGCAAGCAGAAGGATACAAATGGTGATGTACAAAGAGAATCACAAACAACAAGGAAGACAACATAATCAAATCCAACCAATGTCTTGTTCTTCGGATTTTCATTCCTGCAACACTAGCTTAATCATTGTCGATGATACTTGCTAAGCTTGCTCACAACATCCTGGAACGAGCCCTGGAATTCAAGTTTTGACCCCATAGCAAAACTTTTGGTTATTTATAGAACTTTTCGAGTACATTTCACCCTTCATTTGATGTAGGTCGTGATGAATAATTATTGATATCACGTATATCCAGAATTGGATGAATGGCATTCCATCCATCATGCATGGGATCCTTTATCATGGGAAGATTGGTTCAGTCGAAAGAACAGCAGAATTGGGTGGTTTTGATTCACTTTTCTCTGTTAATTTCAGTGGAAAAAAGCTTCTTTCCGAGTAGTTTTAACCATTAACAGAAACTTGCTATGTCGACTTACTTTGAACGGTTACATTGCAGAAGAATACAGGTGGAGTAGCCATTAGGGGCAGTAGCAATAGGGGGCAGCAAGCAACGTCCAGCGGCGGCGGAAGCCCAATCTCTACAAATAGCACCTCTTTCTGGCGTCGCCGCCCTAGGCCAATATTCTTTCTTTGCCACTTGCTGGCAAAGTACCAACAGTATCCTGTAGTATCTCAATGAAGTTCTACATCTTACCTTCAAATAATTGAATTTGCATTTAATTTTGAGGACCCATTTTAGAGTCGTCCAAAATGATGGGATTGGGAATTCCCCTTTCGAATTTGGATTTTGTTGAATTCCAAGCTGTCCCAAAACGAAAATTCTATCCCCGTCTGCAAGGACCATCCCCTCCCCTATTGGTCCCCAGTCTGCTTTAGGCTTTCAGCATGCTAATGAAACGAGTTTCCAATCATCATTCCTGGAAGTTGGTTTCTGACAAACTCTCTCTGAACCCATCTTTGTACTCTGGGTCATTGGGCTCCCTTTGGATCCATGGCGATTTCGTGTTTGA